ACGAGGGTTCCTGCAGGGAGAAAGAGAGAGAGAGGGGCAAGGAATATTATAGAAGTCGGCGAGCCTGAAAGCAGGAGGAGATGGACGAGACTCCACTGAGCAATGTGTGCCATGCAGCCCAGCCTGTATGCGACCTTCACATCCCCTCATGGCCTCATGCCCGCATCACCTAGTGCAACACCACCAAGGATGCTTCAAGGCGTGATGCGCACCCAGCTGTATACACAAGCCACACTCGCACCCACCCACCCACCCACCCACCCACCCACCCACCCACCCACCCACCCACCCACCCACCCACCCACCCACCCACCCACCCACCCACCCACCCACCCACCCACCCACCCACCCACCCACCCACCCACCCACCCACCCACCCACCCACCCACCCACCCACCCACCCACCCACGCCGCCACCCACGCACCCCACTGCCCACCCACCTCGACCCTCCCTCGTTAAGTGACAGTCTCACCTCACAGCGCCAAAAAACAATTCTTCAGGTGTGTTGCGTTGCTGTACGTGCGCGTGCGCCCAGCTGCAGACACAAGCCACAATCACATCACACCACACCACTCATCCACGCCGCCACCTATGCACGCCCCTCCATAGTTGACTAGGACCTGCTCACCTAGAGCCACGCCACGCCAGCAATAATGTCTCCCGGCGCGTTGCTGCATGTGCACTCAGCAAAGACAGCCACACTTGTACCACCCACACACACCACCCAACCAAGCTACCCAACCAAACCCACCCCTTCCCCTCTCTAAGTGACTGAGCGACCGCCTCACCTAGAGCAACCCCAGCAAGGATGTCTCCAGGTGCGTTGCTGTACGTGTCCAGGTCAGCAAGCCCAGCACCGGCCGCGAGGGCCAATGGCCACGCGACAGCTGGCACGTGCCAGAGGTGGCTTGCATGGAGGGAGTACAGTAGGCGGGCGGCAGTAAAGTTGTTGTGTGGGGAGGGTGTAGCGATAACCATAAGATGGTGATGGGAGGGTGTTGCGTTGGCATTTGGGTGCTCTGCGGGCTGGTGTGGTTGATGGGGTTTATGGAGTGGTTGAGTGCACTCCTGGTGCGGTTGGGTGCGGTGCTGCGGTGAGTGATCGGGACGATGGGAGTGGCGAGGGGAGGGGCGGTGGCTTGGTGAGTCGGGGGGTGAGAGCCGCTGGGGAAATGATTGTTGGATGGTCCGGGAGAGGAAGAGGAGGAGGAAGACTGCTGCTGAGAAGCTGACTGGTACGCAGGGAGGAGAGGAAGGGAGGGTGGGGGGAGGAAAAGATGGGGGGGAAAAGATGGGGGGGAAAAGATGGGGGGGAAAAGATGGGGGGGAAAGATGGGGGGGGAAAAGATGGGGGGGAATCGGGGAGGAGTTCTCTCAGAGGATGGAATTGGGGAGAGGACTGAGTGGGGTTGAGGAGCGGGAGTGAGGTTGGAAGAATATTGTAACAGAGAGGGTGTCCCAGCCCAGCACAGGCTAGCGGGGGAGAAATGCTATTTGAAGCGATTTAAAAAATTAAATCCCGGACGGAATGCTCACCTGCTGCGTGGGCCGAGGGGAAGCTCTTGCGGAAATAGTAGAGGTCGGCGGGTGGAGGCACACAGGTGACACCCGCTGACGGGGAGACCACCTGGAAAGACCGTGTTGAGAAAGGGAGGGGGGAGGGAGAAGTAGAGGAGGTGGTGACAGGAGTGCTGCAGTGCAGGGACTGATGTTGGAAGTATAGGGGTGTTTAGGTAGTTCACGAATATATTTCACATCAGGAAATGACAATAGAGCATGAAAATGGCACCACAAGGGGGGTAGAACCCGCACCGGTTGGGTGCCTTGCAAGCAGGCTGCGAGGAAGTTGGGGCGGGGCCGGCCAATGGCACACTGGAGGAGAGTGGCGGCTAGCCAGGTGATTTGCACTGCTGAGAGCAGCCCTGTGAGTCAATGCGGGGCATAATGGTGGTAGAGAAGGTGATGGATGGTGAGGGAATGTCACGGATGGTGAGGGATGGTGAGGGAAGGAAATAAGGCGAGGGATCGGGAGAAAGTAAGAGAAGCGGGGTCACTGCGGGAAGGAGAATGCAATGATGGAACCGCTAGTGGTGCTGCTTGTACGGAGTATGGACTTGTGCGACTTGTGATTATAGACTTGTGAATCTATTGATTCTGCTTGTACCGAGTATGGACTTGAGCAGCTCGAGCAGGTTCTTTTGAGGGAGCAGCACCAGCAGGAACGCAATGAGGGGAGCCAACACTGAAGCAGTCTGCAGCAATCAGGTCCGGGGAAGATGAGGGAAGTTGGGAAGGGCGAAGAGGGGACAGTGAAGGCTTTCACGGAGGAGGAGCAGGACGGAGCGGGTACAAAAGGAGGGGAGCCAACAGCAAAGTAGCCTGCATAGGGAAGAAGAAAAAGAGAGAGGGAAAAAGGAGAGAAGAAAAAGGTAACGAGAGAAAACGAAAAAGGAGAAAAAGGAGAGAGGGCGATGGTGATTGGACGTACCGTGAAAAAGGTTGCCCCTGCAGTGTCAATCACGGGATAACGCGGATTGTGAAGGGTTTCGGGCGGAATGAAGCGCTGATAGGGAGGTAAGTAGAGAGAGAAAACGACGTTGACTGGGAGCAAGGCGAGCAACAGCAACCAATCCGTTTTGCTCGCGACGATTGCTCGCCACAATCCTCGCGCATGATGGTGCTGCGACGACCATGGGCTCTGCGACGAGGATTGCGACAACAGGTGCGACATTGAGCTGTCGCACCTGTGTGGCGGTGCTCTTGGGGAGGCGAGAGGCGCAGAGTGGGGGGAAGGGGAGGAGGAGGAAGGGAGCGCGGGAGAGGAGAGAATGGAGGAAGAAGGAGGTTTGGGAGGAAAAAAAGACGCTGGGAAGGCAGGGAAGGGTGGTGGTGGTGCGGGAGGGTTGGGAGCAGGTCGAGAGAGGGGAGAGAGGCAGGAGGGGGAAGGAGAGGAGGAGGAGGAGGAGGGAGGAGTAGAGGAGGGGGAGGAGGATGATGCAGCAACAGTGAGTGAAGCGGAGGAGCATGAGGAGGAGGAGGGGCTGAAGGGCCCGTCTGCTTCACGCTGCTTGTGGCGGTCGAGGCGAGTGCGGCGTGTGTGGAGGAGGGAGGTGATGGGCGCTCGCACATTCGCCACCCTGGCTTACCTTGCTGCCTCCCTCAGGTGTGTGATCCCCAGTTGGACTACCTGCTTCTCTCAGGGGTGTTCCCCCTGCATGAGCATCTTCCCCCAGGTATGCTTCCCGTGCACTAGCTTTGAGGCACCTCAAGAGGAGGAGGAGGAGGGGTTGAAGGGCCCGTCTGCGTTGCGCTGCTTGTGGCGGTCGAGGCGAGTGCGGCGCGTGTGGAGGAGGGAGGTGATGGGCGCTCACACCCTCGCCACCCTCGCTTACCTCGCTGCAACTGTCAAGTGTGTTTCCCCGCTGGTCTTTGATTAGTAACAAAAAGGCTGCCGTCTCTACTAGGTGTGCCCCTTACCGCGCAGCGCAGCCCCCTTAGGTGTTGATAGCATAGCATGTTTGAAGATTCCTAGAGTCGCCTCTTTTCTTACTTTTCGCTCTTTCTCCTTCCTGGCTTTCCTGTCACAGAGAGTGCTGAGCTATTTTCGAGGGGCCTCAAAAGTCGTCTCAAAAGTCTTGAGGCGCCTCAAAAGTCCTTCCTGGCTTACCTGTCGCAGAGAGAGCTGAGCTATTTTCAAGCTTCCAAGGTTCATACGGAAAGGACGGTAAAGGGAGGGTGGGGGACGAGGGGGCATATGGACCTTGTCCCCTTGAGTGTTCTCGCTTGTTCCAATCACCTCTCACGCCTGTCCCATTTCTTGTCCCATCTCTCCTTCCTACCATACCCGCCACAGAGAACGATGCAATGCCCTTGACGCCTCCGAGCTTCACACGGGGAAGGAGGGAAGAGGACGAGGAGGATGAGCACACGTTCACACTTGTCCCCTTCATTACTGACGTCTTTCCCTTTTTTTCCTTCCTACCATACCCGCCACAGAGAACGATGCAATGCCCTTGACGCCTCCAAGCTTCTCACAGTTATGGAGAGAGGAGAGGGGAGAGGTGGGGACGAGGAGGTATTAGATGATGGGAGCGATGAAAGTGAGGAGGAGGAAAAGAGAGGAGAGGAAGAGGTGGAAGAGGGGAGTGAAGGGAGTGAGGAGGAGAAGGGGGAAAGTGAGGATGAGGAGGAAGAGGAGGTGGAGAAAGGGGGTTCAGCCAAAGGTGGTAGTGGTGGTAGGAAGAAGCAGGGGAAGAGGAAAATTGGGGGGGGGTGGGATGAAGGCAAGAGAGAGTAGGAGAAAGCAGGGGGGCAGAGGCAAGAGAAACCCTGAGATTTCTGAAAACGAGGAGGAGGATGAGAAGGATGAGGATATGGAAGGGGAGGAGGAGGAAGAGGAGGAAGAGGAGGAGGAGGAAGAGGAGGAGGAGGAAGAGGAGGAGGAGGAAGAGGAGGAGGAGGAAGAGGAGGAAGAGGAGGAGGAGGAAGAGGAGGGCTCAGGGAAGTTGGGGGAGCAAGGAGAAGAAGAGGAGGAAGACCAGGGTTTCACGACGGTTGGAGGCAGAAAGCTGGAGCGACAGGCAGTGGTGGTGAGGCAAAGGCAAAAGGGAAGGCAAAAGGGAAGGCAGACGGGAAGGCAGACGGGAAGGCAAAAGGGAAGGCAAAAGGGAAGGCAAAAGGGAAGGGGAAGGAGCCTGGCCGCCAGGCTACTTCTAGCAGCCCAAACCCTTTTTCTGTTGCTGTCGACGCCGCCATTGCTGCTGCTATGCGAGCTAAGGGATATCCATGTAATGACCCTCCATCCCTCTGTGCTTCGTGTGGGGAGGCAGTTGGGGCAGGGGGAAGGGAGGCTGGAGCAGGGGAGATGGTGCGGTGTGCGGGGGTGCAGTGGGGCAAGGCGTTTCACCCCGTGTGTGCGGGGCTGAGGCGCAAGGCTGCTAAAGCTGCTTGGTTTTGCACGGATTGCCGCCAGGGGTGGCGGCGGAGGGGGGGGAATGACATGGGGGAAAAGGTTGGGAAGGATGGAAAGGGTGGGAAGGTGAGGAAGGGTGGGAAGGTGGGGAAGGGTGGGAAGGATGAAAGGGGCGGAGGTGATGGAGAGGGTGGGGGACGAACGGGTAGGAAGCGTGGGCAAGGGGAGGATGTGGAGGAGGAGGAAGAAGAGGAGGGAGAGGAGGAGGAGGGCGTTAAGGAGCGGATTCGTAGTGGGGAAGAAGAGGGATATGGGGGGGAGGACGAGGAGGAAGGAGAGGAGGGTGAAGAGGGAGAGGAGGACGAGGAGGAAGAGGAGGAAAGTGAGGAGGAAAGGAAAGTCCGTGGGAAGGGCAGCAAGGGGAGGGTGATTAGTAAAGGAAAAGGCAGAGGCAGGTCTGCTATTGATACCATAACTGGAAAATCGCGGAAGAAAGGGGAGGTGAGTGAGGAGGAAGAGGCGGAAGAGAAGGAAGAGGAGGAAGATGATGAGGAGGGAGAGGATGAGGACGAAGAAGAGGAGAGTGAAGAGGATAGTGAGGAGGAAGGGAAAGTGCGTGGGAGGAGCAGCAACAAAAGGATGGCTTCTAAAGTGAAAGGAGGAGTTGGTGGTGCTGCTAGTAATGCCCGTGCTAAGAAACCGCGCTGGGAAAAAGAGAAGGACAGGGAGGAAGAAAGAAGGGAAGAAGAAGAGGAAGAGGGGAGCGAGGAGGAAGAGGAAGAGAGCGAGGAGGAGAGTGAGGAGGATAGCAGGGAGTGGAGGGGAATTCGTGGGAGAAAAAGCAAGGGAAAGCTGCTCTCCAAAGGGAAGGGCCGGAGTGGTGGTGCTGTTGGTGCAACAAGGGCTGGGCGATCGCGGAAGAGAAAAGGTGCAGAGATGGAAGAGGAGGAGGAGGAGGAGGAGGAGGATGAGGAGGAGGAGGAGGATGAGGAGGAGGAGGATGAGAGTGATAGGGATAGTGAGGACGAATGGAAGGTGGAAGGATGGGTTAACAATGGAAAGTTAGAGATTCGTATCGGGAGTAGCAACAAGGGAAGGAAGAAAGCACAGATGAAGAGGAAGAAGGATTGTGAGGAGGAGGAAGCGGATGAGGAAGAGGAGGAGGAAGAAGGGAGTGAGGAGGAGGAGGAGGAGGAGGAGGAGGAGGAGGAGGAGGAGGAGGAGGAGGAGGAGGAGGAAGAGAAGAGTGAGGAGGGAGAAAAGAGTGAGGAGGAAGAGAGTTCAGCAGGTGGTGGTACCGTTTCGTTGAGAGGGACGAGGATGGAGGGTCGGGGAGGGAAAAACGTTGGGGGACAGGGAGGCGGTAAGGTGCAAGGGCAGAGGTTGGTGGGAAAAGGGGCAGGGAAAGGCGTGAGGAAGGGAAACGGGAATGGGAATGCTAAAGGGAAAGGAGACGTGAAAAGGAAAGGGAGTGAGAAGATGAGAGGTCGAGCGGAAGCGATTAAACTTGATTCCAGTGAGGAAAGTGGTAGCAGTGAGGAAAGTGGTAGCAGTGAGGAAAGTGGTAGTAGTGAGAGCGAGAAGGAGAGTAGGAGCGAGAGTGAGAGTGAGAGTGAGAGTGAGAGTGAGAGTGAGAGTGAGAGTGAGAGTGAGAGTGAGAGTGAGAGTGAGAGTGAGAGCGAGAGTGAGAGGGACAGTGAAAGTGGAAGGGGTGGAAACGGTCGTGCTGAAAGGAAGGGGGTGACTCGCAGGTCGGTGTCAAGCCAAGAAAAGCCGACCAAAGGGAAGGTGAGCCAAGAAACGCCGACCCAAGTGAAGCGGCCTCAGGAGACAAAGACTCCTGAACAAGAAGAGACAAAGACTCCTGAACAGCCAGCTCTTGTGGTGGTCGGTGCGAGAAGGGTGACTCGCGGCATGGCTGAAAACAGCAGGGAGGGGAGGAGAGAGAAAGAGGAGGAGGATGAGGAGGATGAAGTGGAAGAGGAGGAAGATGAGGACAAGGAGGAAAGGGGTGAAGAAGAAGAGGAGGGGGAGAAGAGCAGTGGGGAGGAGGAAGATGCAGGCAACAGTGGTGGGAAGAAGGTGGGTGGTGGGAAGAAGGTGGGTGGTGGGAAAAAGGTGGGTGGTGGGAAAAAGGTGGGTGGTGGGAAAAAGGTAGGTGATGGTCGTGGGACTGGGACGGTGAAGGCGGGTGGAATTTTGAGACGTCTCAAAGATGGACGTGGGAGTGGGAAGGTGAGGGCGGGTACTGACAAACACTTTGTGGTTGAGTCGTCACTCCAGTCACGTCAGGGAACGCAGCAGCAGCAGCAGCAGCAGCAAAGAGGGAAGGGAAAAGCGGAAAGGGGAGGAGTGGAAGAGGGACAGGAGAAGGCAGGAGGGAAAGAGAAGGAGAAGGCAGGAGGGAAAGAGAAGGAGAAAGCAGGAGGGAAAGAGAAGGAGAAGGCAGGAGGGAAAGAGAAGGAGAAGGCAGGAGGGAAAGAGAAAGAGAAGGCAGGAGCGAAAGAGGAGGAGGAGGCAGGGAGGTATGGGAAGGCTTACTCCCGAACGAGAAGGAGAGAGACCGTTTAACAGGCAGTGTGGTCAATGGTTGTGGTCAATGGTTGTGGCAGCTTATGAGAAAATGAGCTCATTAGTTCAGCAGTTGGTGGGTCAGTGGAGGCATAGGCATCTGAGACATCCTTACCAGCTTGGAGGCGGGAAGAGAGCGAGGTAATACGAGATGAGGGTTAGGGGTTGGGGCTAGTGAGGTGGGCCTGGGTGGTAAGTGGTTGGGGCGTGGAAGAGCAAGGGTTGCGGTAGGGTGTGAGTGACTAGGGTGCAATTGAGACGCCTCAATAAGTGAGGTGGCGTGTTAAGGGGTAGGGTGATAAGGGGTTGGAGTGTGGAAGAGAAGGGTGTGGGACTAGTTTGCAAGTGAAACAGGTTAGATGAGGGGTTCGCATGTGACTAGAAAGGATTGTTGATTCGGGAATGATGAGATGAGAAGCACTAAATGAGAGCATGACTGAAGGTTCCGCTCTTGATCATTCTTGAAAGTGACACAAATACGGTACTACTGTATGTTCACTTGCATTTCCCATGTAAGCACGCACGCACGCACGCACCTACGGTAGTTGTGCTACTGTAGCTGCTCGGGCAAGACATGGCATAGGTTGGCTTGATTGACCCATACTTTGGATCCCAGTGTTGTTGCCTCCAACAGGCAGTACCCAGTTAACGCAGCACGATTGGTACAGAAAAACAAACAAGCAGTTGATAACACGCTTGAGTCACCGCCGCACCGGTAAGTTGTTGATTATATGCAAACTGCTTCACTCGTTGGTCAATTCGATTGTGTTAGCTGTACAAAGCAGGCAGCTACTTATGGTACCTACCAAAGTACTAAGCGAAACCCAGCTGGCACATCCTAAGACATTTCAAATCCAACCCTGCTTACTACAAACACAGACCCTCTACTTGTTTTCGTGATGAGACCTCCACTTGGACCGCGACCTATTACGTCGGTTCCAACCTCCTGCACAACCCCTCTTCTGATCATCATCGTCATCATCCTCTATATACTGCCTCCCTTTTTACCATACCATAGAACCTTTCTGGCTCTTCGAATTGCTGCGCTTGCCAGCTCTCCAAGTCGCCTACTAAGCCCTGACAGCAAGCCAGACGCCCCTGCTGCACAGCAAGGTGACTTTTGAGTCGACTCAAAAGTCACCTTATTTGCCAGCTCTCCAAGTCGCCTACTAAGCCCTGACAGCAAGCCAGTCCCTCCTGCTGCACAGCCTAGCCGCACTCCACGCTGACTCTTCCTCCCGCTACTATCAAGGCTCGCTTCATCACGTGTCACCTCACCACTACCGTTAGTGGCACCATCTGCAAGCGTCTTTCGAGATTCCTCGTAGATGCACTCCTCTCCCTCCCCTGCTTTGTCATTGTCAGGGTGAAAGGGCAGGGCTTCATCATCGATTTTTTCAGCAGTCCTGCTTCCCCATTCCTTTTCAGGTCTCCTTACCCCCCCATCTCTTCCACGTGTTGCTCCTTTGACCTGCGCGGTCGAGTGTGTCCCCTTTTTCTCTGAAGATGCCAAGGACACATGTGAGAAGTTACCTTCCTCCTCTTCCCCCCCCTGCTGCTGCTGCTGCTGCTGCTGCTGCTGCTGTTGTGGCTGTGGCTGTTCCAATTGCTGCTGCTGCTGCTGCTTGCAGCGTCGTTCCTCAAAAGAGAGCATGAAGCATACTCTCGCTGCAGGAACAGCCGCTGTAGCAGGAAGAGTAATTACAGCAGGAGCAACAGCCGTAGCAGGAGCAATGGCTGTTGCAGGAGCAACGGCTGTTGCAGGAGCAACGGCTGTAGCAGGAGCAACGGCTGTTGCAGGAGCAACGGCTGTAGCAGGAGCACTGCAAGTGCTGCTTATAAGAACACCGCTTCTTGCCCTTCGAAGCTGGCCCGTATTCCTGCTGCTCCTAATGTCAGTAGCGGCAGCAGAGCCAGTACAATTGCTGATTGGAAAACCGCTTTTTGTCCTCCGGATTTGGGGTGAAGTTCGGGTGTTAGTGGTAGTGGTGATACGAGTAGTGGTGCTGCCGCTGTTGATGTTCCTGCAAGCGCTGCTGGTGCTGCAGCTCCTCAAGTGAATGCAGCGCCGGCTGCTCTGGAGGTGGGTGGGAATCCGGCTGTCACCACTGCCAGTGCTGCAGTGACCGTCCATGATTTCGCTGCCCATTCGCAGGCTGTTGTAAATGTTGCTGCAGGTAATGATGCTGCTGGTAATGCTGGTGTTGGCGCTGCTGCTGGTTCGCTTGCAGGTGCTGGTGCTGCTTTGCTGGTCACTGTAAGTTCCGCTAATGTTGCTGCTGACTCTGGTTCTTCTGGTGGTGGTGGTGGTGCTGCTGCTGCCAGGACCAGGGCTGGACCTTCTCACATGAACGGTGCTGCGGGTTCGGCGAAGGTGAATTGGAATGGCCGGGAGGAAATTGCTGCTCTCTGATTGCTCTGATTGCACCCGAGCCTGGTCAAGATCAGGGGTGCTTCTTGTCCTCGCTAAAGGATGTCTCTTTACAGGTACGAGTTTGGTGCCTTCACCACCAACCAGAGGAGCGAAAGAGCAATCGTCAATATCATAGCCACCCTTATGATGCACGGGGGCCCTGTTGCCGCCCACATCGTCGCCCACAACGCCACCCACATTGCCGCCCATATCGCCACCCACATTGCCGCTTGCATCACTTGCAGCAGCAGGATTGAGTGGGGGGGCAGCGCCAGCAACAGGATCACAATCACTTGCAGCAGCAGGACTGCAAGCACTATCAGAAGCAGCAGAAGAAGACAAGAGCGTCGGTGCGAGCAGCGACGGTGGTGCTGCCGCTGGTGCTGGTGCTGCTAGTGGTGGTGCTGTTGTTGTTGTTGGTGGTGGTGGTGGTGGTGGTGGTGGTGGTGCTGCTGCTGCTGCTGCTGCTGCTGTTGCTGCTGGACTCCTCATTCCGGAACTGAATAGTCTGGGACTGAAAGCCCTGGGACTGAACGCCCGTGGACTAGGCAGCCTGGGGAAGTTGAAGCAGTTTCGGGTGGCCGCGGAGCGAGGCGGGGCAGCAGTATCCGTTTCCCCCACAACCTCCGAGCAGACCCCCTTCCCCTCTTCTCCCGGGCGAACGCCATCATCCTCTCTTCCCCACGCGGACCCCCTAGCCCACTCACTCGGGTTCCAAGACTTTGCCTTCCGCCACACTCTCCCTTCTCCACCTCTCAATCCCTCCTCTTGCTGCTGCTCGCCGATCCTCATTCTTCCGCCATTGCTAGACGCAGCCGAACCCTTGAGATCCCCAGTCTCCGCAGTCCCCACTGTATCCAACAGGGCCTCCTTCCCTCCACTATCCTCACTCCCCCGCGTGTATCCCCTCGCCCACTCTCCAGGGTTCCATGACTTGGCCTTCCGCCATACCCTCCCTTCTCTCCCTTCTCTCCCTTCTCTCCCTTCTCTCCCTTCTCTCCCTTCTTTCTCCCCTTCAGTCCGTAAACCTCTGTGTTGCTTCTGCTCGCACCAAGTCCACTTCGCTCCCTCTTCCACCTTTCCTCTCCCCCTTCTCTTTCCACCAGACTCCAAGAAAAACTCTCTCCCTCTTTTCTTCTGATTTGACTGGCAACGCATTTCTTTCCCTTTTTTGCCCTTCCCTCCCTCCTCCTTCTCCCCTTCCTCCCTTTCGTTTCCTACCTCTTCCGCCTCTCCCTCCCCCAACGCCAGTTCTTCCCACAGGGCGTCAATGTCAACGGGGTCCAAATTGCAACATGCCACCGCCGGGATTCGAACCCGGAGCTTCCGCGTGAAACGGTACTTTGAGGCGGAGCTGGAACTGGCGGACGGGTGGTGAGGGGA